GTTCATGATCTGAGCCACAGTCAGCTCCTGTTCTTGATTTTGCTGACTGTACAGAGCTTCTCCATCTTCTGCTGAAAAAATATAATCAATCTGAATTCAGTATTGATCATCTGATGATGTCCACTTGTAGAGTCATCTCTTGTGTTGTTGGAGGAGTGTGTTGGCTATGACCAGTGTGTTGTCTTGGCAAATCTCTGTTAATACTTCATTTTGTACTCAAAGGCCAAAATTGCCTGTTACTCCAGGTATCTCTTGACTTTTGCATTCCAGTCCCCTGTGACGAAAAGGACATCTTTTTTGGTGTTAGTTCTAGGAGGTCATCATAGAACCGTTCGACTTCAGCTTCTTTGGCATTAGTGGTTGGTGCATAAACTTGGATTACTGTTTATTGAATGGCCTGCCTTGGATATAAACAGAGATCATTCTGTCGTTTTTGAGATTGCACCCAAGTACTGCATTTCAGACTCTTTTGTTCACTATGAGGGCTACTCCATTTCTTCTAAGGGATTTTTGCCTACAACAGTTGATGTAATGGTCACCTGAATTCTAGTCACCATTCTGGTCAATTATAGTTCTCTGATTCCCAAAACGTCGATGTTCACTCTTGCCATCTCCTGTTTGCCCACTTCCAATTTGCCTTGATTCATGGACCTAACACTCCAGGTTCCTGAGCAATATTGTTCTTACAGCATCAGACCTTGCTTCCATCACCAGTCATATCCACACCTGGGAGTTGTTTTTGGTTTGGCTCCAGCTCTTCATCCTTTCTGTTTCTATTTCTCCATTTTTCTCCAGTAGCATATTGAGCACCTACCGACCTGGGGAGTTCATCTTTCAGTGTCGTATTTTTTTGCCTTTTCATACTGTTCATGGGGTTCTCAAGGCAATAATGCTGAAGTGGTTTGCATTCCCTTCTCCAGTGAACCACGTTTTGCCAGAACTCTCCACCATGACCTGTCCATCTTGGGTGGCCCCACATGGCATGGCTTTAGTTTCATTGAGTTAGACAAGGCTGTGGTCCATGTGATCAGTTTGGTTAGTTTTCTGTAAGTGTGGTTTTCTTTCTGTCTGTTGTCTGATGGACAAGGATAAGAGGCTTGTTGAAGTTTCCTGATGGAAGAGAATGTTTGTTGGGGAATACCTATGTAGTTAGATATGTCTAATTAAAACAGAAAAATGATATATTCTTCAAAATAAAATTTATTAGAAACTTTGTTTTTAAACATGTTATTTTTAAGAAGACAAATAACAAAGGAATTCTAAGAAGTAAAGGCACTTAGAAGTATCTCTCAAAGATGCAATGTTTAGCAATATAAATGAGGTGTAAGGTGAAATTTGCTCAAGGAGTTAAGAGTGTTGTTTCAGTGTGCTATTAACTTTGGTTAAAGAAAGAAAATAGCAAAGGACCTTTCAATGATAAAGAACGTAAGCATTATCAGTATAAGAGGTGAGAGTGTTGGAGAGGAAACCATGTAATTCGAGCCTAAGGATGTAAAAGCAGTTTGAACAAAATTCTGTAATGTGAAGATGAGTGGGAAGTGGGACCAGGACAAACATATTCTTCAAAGTCACAGTGACCAATGAGAGAAACTAACCTCTAACAACAAACACAAGCATGCTACAGCTGTTGGATAAAATAAAGGCAGACAAGAGGGTTCTTTTATGATCCAACAAAAATTCATCAGTTCATCCTGGAGAAGCATTTTATGCCTATTCATAACAGGTCCATTGGTGACGGCATATAACAATGAGTTTAAAACCAGACGAAAGTGGAAAGCAGTAACTGTTACGGAACAGTACAAGACTCAAGGCACAAATTCTGGAGAAGTCTAATGCCTGATGGGCCACCAATTTCCTCAGCCTACAGTGTGAGGCCAAACATTTCCAACCAGTGCCTCCAATTTGAACTTTATTCCCCACATGAGTCCTACAGGAAATAAAAATCCATTACAGAGAGGTACGGACTCTCTACGCCTCCCCTTAACCCTCACCTCACCACAAGGGTTTGCATTAATAGACCTCTAATTTTAAAAGTGAACATTATACATTGATTATTAGTAGAGAAATGCAAATCAAAGTTACAATGAGGTATCACCTCACACTAGTCAGAATGGCCATCATTAAAAAAATCGATAAATGGTAAATGCAGGAAAGGATATGGAGAAAAGGGAACCCTCTTGCACTGTTGGTGAGAATGTAAATTGATACAGCCACTATGGAGAACAGTACGTATATTCCTTAAAAAACAAGGAGTATGACCCAGCAATCCCACTACTGGGCATGTACTCTGAGAAAACAACATCTGAAGGAGACACAGGTACTTCAATATTCAGCACCCCAGTGTTCACTGCAGCAGTTTGTACAACAGCTAGGAAATGGAAGCAGCCTAGAAGTCTGTTGTATTCATGTGATTTTCCAGAACAACCTTCAACACATGAAAGTTCCACATCTATCCCTAATATTTTCATACTAACTCACTGAAATTAGCATAGTTTCTGAAGTTGAATCGTATGGAATTAAACAGCAACCTGAGATCAGAAGACATTGACAAACAGACATTTATGTGGCAGTAATTTCCAGCAGTCTTGACACTGTGGTCTTTCTAAATGTCTACTGTATAGCACTTTTCTCTCAATTAAAAAAAAAAAAAAAAAGGGACACAGTGTCTAAAATTCAAGGACTATAACCATAAAGAAAGGAAGAAAAAATTTGCCTGCAAAATTGTTCTTCCCTTATAGTCTTCTTTATGCTTTTTTTTATTCTAAAGAAAATTCCCTCTCCAGATTATTTATTCAAATAAAGTGTTTTATAGTTAGCTATAACAATTTTAATTTAGTACAATGTGAATATGAGTGTGTGTGTGTATGTCTGTGTATGTAGGAAGTGTGTGGTAGCAGCTACTTCTAGGAGCCATGTGAACTCTGAAACAAAGTATAGCTCTCACTTTATCACCCTCCACCTTGAACCTTTCTCCACTCAAACACTTTTCCCTCTGCCCACCACCTATTAAGGATGCTAAGTTACCCACAGATATCCTACCAGATCTAAGGCAGATGTGGAATTAGATGTGATTCAAACCATACATTATGGACTTGGTCTCTTTCTACATTTGCCCAGAGTGGGGAATAGAAACAGCAAAAGAATGCAGAGTTATCATGAAGACTGGCTGATATATGTAAGGCATTTGGAAAAATACTTTGTTCGTAGAAAATATTCAGTATCTGATGGGTATTATTATTTTATAATTTTATGCATAATTGTGTCATGGATCCTCAAGACCATTGATAATTTGTTGGAAGGAGCCACAGAACTCAGAAATGTTGTTATACTCGCTGTTACACTTTCTTACAGGGAAAAGATACAGAGTAAAATCACAGTTGTCTTCTCCCAGGAGAGTTTCATTATTCCAGCAACATGTCACAACACATGTGATACGATGTACTGCCAAGAAGGAAAGTTCAACCAAGCCTTGATACCAAGAGTTATTGAGGAGGTCAGTCATGCAGACCAGAATATAGACCCCAAAAACAAGTGTTCACAATAAATAACATTTTTTGCATAACTATCCAGCTTGGCCCCAGGTCCGGGTATACAAAAACTGCTTTATTGGGCAGGATATTCCAAGAGTTTATAGTTGTTCTCCCCAGAGCCAGTAAAGGACCAGCAATTTCTTTGAAATGTGCAGGGTCTGAGTATCTCAAGTCTACTGAGTTAACCTTTCATGGCATAATAATTTATTAAGCAACTACCATGTACCAAGAGCTGTGATACTTAATACTTATCTCATTTAGTATTTAAATACTACCATGAGAAAAGAATTAACATTCCCTTTTACAATTATGGGAACTGAAGCTCAAAAATGTTAAAAGTATTTATAGTCATATAACTAGTGTGGAATCCAAACCTTGTTCTCTCAAACTGCAAAGCCTTTGCTATTCCTACTAAACCATGTTGACTCATAAAACATAAATATTAAAGTAGCATATTATGCAGTATATCACACATATAAACACATAATAAGTATATCTAATAGTCAAAGTTGTTTCTGCTAGTGAAAAAATAATTTTGAAAAACACTGTGAATTTATGGAGGAAATAAATTAGACTTGTGAACCAATTTTCATTTAAAATATTGACTTTATTGAAAGGCTATCTAGTCATAACCAGGTGATTATAACTAACTCCAATAAATTCAGCAATAAAGCTTTCCTAAAATTAAAAATAAATTCAACCTTCTTTAAATTCAATCTTTTTTTCCTTTACACATCAAAAGTTTTTAATCCCCATAAACATTTGCTGAAACACAAAAGTGACTCACCCATCTATTACGAACAATGTAATTTTTCATTGTAGAAATGAAAATGTATCACCAGTTTCCCTAGGGAGACAACAATGCTGTCTCACTTTAATACCTGTGTGGGTTTTTTCCCCCATTTAATCAGCTAATACTTTTCAAAAGATCTTTTTAATGCCTAAATGAAAGGATTCCACATCAGAGACCTGACCTCCCTATTAAAGCATCTAAAGGAAACCCTAGGAACGCAAAATACATTCAAAGGCAAATCACAGGTAGCTTATTGTACAATGCATTAAGAAAAGAAAAGGGAAAAAAAGCTTCATAAAAACTGTACAGAATTTGGTGAAATTATACCACAAAAATAAAAATTGATCTTAAGTATAAAGAAACAAATTCAGAGCCAAAAACTTATTACAAAAGTGCTTTGTAATCAGCCAGGAGGGGAGTCTTTATGAAAAACTTCAGAATTTGTCACTTTTTCAATCAAAATTTCTGATTACAACTTAATGTTGGGAAGGCCCAAAAGAGAACAAAACACACATTTTTCAATAGATTTAAAAATCTAAAAAATTTAAAGCTAACTTTCAACATCAGAAAAGATAAGTTTTACTATAGACAACAGGGGCAGAATGAATTACTAAACAGTAAATGAAGTAATATAGATTTAAATACTTTTAAAAAACAAATTAAGATTTTTAACATACCATAAACATGGTTCTGAAGTTATTCAAATCAGTCAAGAAGTCTTCTACGGAAACCTTCTTCACGTCGATGGCATAGTATGCCATTATATTCTGGTATAACTTGTCCATGTTTTCATGTAATTTTGAAAGTTTCTCATATTGTTCTTTTGCACTGATAACAAAGCTGTATATTACAGTTAAGGTACTCTGAAATTTACAAAGAAATGTTTTAGGGAAAAAAAAATCCTTAAGTCATATGTTTTAATTGTTAGCCATTATTACACATCTCCAAAATGCCAAAACTAGCTCTAATAGTTAACCATTTTTACAATTCAATCCATACTGTACAGTGATGAAATCTTCAGGGTGATTCCTAATTAACAGTGGAAAAACAATCAGAAAAGTTAAATATTTATATATTTAACATTTTGCTTTTATGATTGGGTTCAAGGATATTTTTCTTCTAATTTGCCTATCTTATCAGATGTCATAATATGATTTAAAATTATAGTTCAGTAGTTTCAATGATATTCAAATGTCTCCTTATACTTGCTAAAAATCTAGATCATAATAGTACTAGTGGTGCTAATAGTGCTAAATATCAATGCATTTATATCTAGTATAATTTTTAATCCTTGGATGAACAAAAGATTTTGTATACTAAAATCACAAAATCATAAGCAGCTATAATAATACATACATGTATCTCTATATACTCTGTTGTGAAACATCCACATTTGTGAAATACTGTAGGTGAAGTGAATTTATGTAAATAGAAATCACATTTGAAATGCATTCAGAAATTATCATTACATGGAACTTATGCTGATTCATTTGTAATGTGCAGTAAGCATCCCTTTATTTACCTACCAAGTTCAGAAATCAATAGTGGTTCATTTATTCAGTCTATAAACTAGAATTTATGTCTCAAATAAGACTATACCCACATGGATTATTTACATAGCCTTAACTCCCATCTAAAAGAGGAATCATTTCCTGCCTTTGCTTGTCCAAACCTATCATTGTAAGCTTAGTTCAACTCTTCCTCTTCCATGAAGCCCCCTACTCTAATCTCTGCAACTAAGCGTGATCACTCGTCCCACTGAATACACAGCACTTGCCGTTCACTGTACTCTGTGCAGTGAAGTTCTTTGTTTGCCCTCCTGGTTCAATCCCCTGGCAGTGCTTTGTTCTTGCTGCCCTGGCGGCTCAGGTGGGAAAGCGTCTGCCTGTAACGGGGGAGACCCGTGTTCAATCCCTGGGTCGGGAAGATCCCCTGGAAAAGGAAATGGCAACCACTCCAGTATTCTTGCCTGGAAAACCCCATGGACGGAGGAGCCTGGCGGGCTACAGTCCATGGGGTCGCAAAGAGTGGGACACGACTGAGCAACTTCACTCATTCACACTTGCCACATCTTGGGGGCTGATCCCCTGTGACTGTCTGCCCTTTCTCTAGCTGTTGTATTAAGTCAAATCATCTGCAACTGTATGGGTGCCGACGACTAGTTTCACTCTTCTGTCATCACTCTTAAACTGTGGTAGGAAAGGTAAGAAGTCTCACAAGTCTGACGTGAGAGCATGTGTGTATATATATATATATATGACTAATTCGAAGTTGTACAGAAGAAATCAATGCAACATTGTAAAGCAATTTTCCTCCAATTACAAAATAAATTTTTTTAAAGCCTGATATAAATCATGGAACTCTCTTCAAAAATCGTGCATATATACATTCATACACACACACAAACACATACAATTTGGATGCCATGTTATGGGCTAACAGAGTTCCTAAAAAGTAGCTACCCTGGACAACTGGTTGCACTGCATGGTGGGTATTCCTAACTGTATGTTCTACAGTCACTCCTATTTTGCCTCATCATGACTTATAAGGCTTTCAGGCTTTTGTTTTTTTTTTATTTATTTTTAATTGGAGGACAACTGCTTTATAATATTGAGTTGGTTTCTGCCATACACCAACATGAATCAGCCACAGGAAATAACAGGTACTCCACAAATACTAATAATTTTTTTCTAATATCTAGGAATATGCCCATTCACAGGAATCAGCTTGGTAAATAAGTTAAAATAAAGCCCTATTATTCAATAACACTTCTTAGATTTTCAGGGAAGAATCAAGAGTAAACAAAATATCAGAAATATGCCTGGACATACTTAAAAATAGCAAAATTCCATTAAATGATGTGATGTGAAAGAGGATCAAGAGCCAAAACAATGGAAATTATATGGTCTTGTTCTAACACCTAGAGTTTTAAATATTCTTATCATTGTTATCTATGTAACAGTTTGCTGCCAAAGGAAATGAAGTACAACTTTAAATAGTGGAATTACTAGCAAAAAATGGTAAGACTGTGATTGAATTGCAATGATGTTGGAAAGAGCCAAATGAATTCTCAGAAGTATAAAATGACCATCAGATAGAATGGAATAATGGGCTACTTTAGTGAGGCTAGTGGTGGATACTGTCTCATTAAGAGATGGCAGAACCTTCAGATAAAAAATACTCTTCATCATCTGAAAGAAAAAGCAAACACAGGTGTTCTCATGCCAATTGTTGAACTCCAGTTAGAAATTAATGCCCATAACTTTAGTAGTAACAAGGCTTTATTTTTTCCCCAGCACAAGTCCTATATTTATAAAGAGCTTTAGAGAAAGGCAAGTTATTCAACAAAAGTTTGATAAAGTTCATTACAGAAATATTGATATATATCCAATTACATGACATTTTTGTGAAATCTATTTTCTTTTCCTTTACCAAGACTAAAGCAATATTCTGATGAACTTCTACTTGACCCAGTGGAATTTTCCCATTTGAAAGGTACATGAGAACCCAGATCTGTGTTCACACACATTGAACAACATGTTTAGTTTTGGCCAACTGAGTAGTCAGACCGAGATTTGGGATTTAAACAAGTTCTGTTCATTCCCAAGCACTACGGCACAAATAGATTCTACCTTTATTAGCATATTATTGCACCTCTCCACCTAAGATACCTTTTACTTCCATTAATCACCTTACAAGGATGAGCTTCAACTGGTCCTACACATTTAACACCTTTAACAGATCTTCTTAATGACCCGGGACCCAGATGGCCAGGCAACCAGCTAATCTACAAGTACTCACTGAGCCCCACCGAGAACGCCTCTTCTAGGCAGTGTGGAAAACACTGGCTAACACGGTCAGCAAAGTCCCCATTTTCCATGAAACATGCATTCTAGAGAGTGGTGACAGATAGTAAATAAATGAATGAGATATTCAGACAGTAATAAAGGTGATAAAAACAAACGTTTGTGCGTGATGTTGTACAGAGTGACAAAGCCTAACTTATGCAGGGTAGTGAGGGAACTCCTGGCTGAGAAAGCGACAGTTACAGAGGCATGCCTGTCAAGCCCAACATAGTCAATAAAGCAAGACCTCTGCGAAGGAAGAGATCACTATAGACCTGAGGATGTACAGAGGATGAAGAGCAGGATATTTTAACCAAAGTCCTTAAAGTTTGTTGAGAATGTGTTAAATGGAAAACAAGTGAGAGAAAGCGGGGAAAAAAGGAGGAAAGAAGACTAATTTAAGAGAAAAAAATCTGCTCTTACAAATCACTCAATTACCTAACTTCCCGTTCTTGCAAATGGACCATGTATTATGCAAGTTTACATTTCACTCATTCCACTCTTCCATTTTCCTTCCTAATCACACTTCAATTAAATTAAAATGTACTAAATTGCTTTACCAGAAAAATTCTGTGCTTTATGCAGTGTGAAATATAGATGTAAGTAATATGCAAGTCTTCCTCTCAAAGAATTTATTGGGACAGTTTCAGCATCTACCTAGTAATTTCTGGAGTGTCCAAAATATTGCTATACAGTGAGACAGCAAAAAAGAAACTGAAAATAAAGTGTGATTACAAAGAAGAAATCTAAAGACTAAAAAAATGGAAAAGTGACACTTGTCATGTAAGTTCTATGGCAAATACAAAAATATCAAGCAAAATGATTTTTTTCTATGAGACTTGGGAGACAGTGGGACAAGGAGAAAAGAGAAATGCAAAGGCTTGTGCAAGGAAAATTTTGAGGGTGATGTGCTAGGATCTATTTGTTATTTTTCCTTAAAATAAGATATATTCCAGAATGTAAAGGTCAAAAGAAAGGAATAAGCATTGCATGACACTAATCCTGGCATTTTCCCCGTTTCTCATGGATAAAGAATTTAAAAAGTACGTACACCTTACGTATAATACTTTATATCGATATATAACAATATTGGTGACCTTACCACAAATCACAAAACAAATTTTTCAGGCAAATACTTACAGTGAAATTACTCTAATTACACTTCTCACCAGACTTAGCAATTGAAAAGTAGGGTAATTATTACTAAAAAGTCAATGTGATAATGAAATAACTGTGCATGCCTTTTAAAGAATGTAATTTTGTCTTTTTTAATATTAAGATATGAATGTAAAGAAAACAAGTACTGGTAGAATAAAAATACAATACACTATAGTTGAATGCTACTCATGAAATTACAACAAAATTGTATCACTATAATATAAAACAATTAAATTATTTAATAGTTCAGTAAATTATGATTGCTTAATCTAAATATCTATTTGCATAAATGTACCATTAATAACTTTGATAACACACACATTCTTTCAGAATTGACTGATGAACCAAACGTTTGATATGTCTTTCAACTAATAAGCACTAATACTTAAACATAAACAAACTGCCAGTGTTAATAACCCCAACTTCAGTTAAACACAGTTTAATTTAATGTGTATTTATTCCCCAAATTCTTCCATTTTCTTAGATGTAAGAAGCTCACAATTTGCCAATTTAATAAAATCTGTATAAATGTATTTAATATTCAAAATCTGACTTGTTGTCAGTCCTAATTAAACAAAGCTTTGCAATGAATGAATTTAATTACTTAGAAACTAGTATGTCTAAGATGAAGAGCAAACGAGTGCAATCTAATCTCAGCAAAGAATATTTATGATTATAAGCTTTGTCAATAGCAAAGTGCACCAACTGTTCATATATTTGACTTCCAAGAGATACATGAATGCTAATCAGTTCATTAGAGGCATCTAGGTTGTGATATTTAGCGACAGGATGTAGGAGCTTTCTTGTCCATGGAGTATAATTGTACTCAAAATGAAAAACTGTTTCCAACAAAGCTTCATCCTTCCTGTTTCTGATTTCCTGCTGGCTGCTTTTTATGAGCTGCATACCTTTCAACAAGCCAACATCATTCAGCTTCTGTGTCATATGAACACAAATATGGATAGGTCCTGAATTGTCTGCTGAGCAGAATTCTACTAACCTTATTCTAATCTCAAGAATTCGTTTCAGGTCCTATGTTCCAGATAACTGAGATTCATAATTAGTACACGCACAATGTATTACTGGAAATTGTATGCAAGTAAAACCTTTTCAAAAATGCTTTCTATCTATAGGGAACAATAAAAAGTGACTCAATGAACAGTTCTTAATGATCACAATACTGTCACATATGAATACTGTAACATGATAAAATGGTGGGTGGGGGGAGATAAGAATGATGTAACATGTAATTCTACAATAACAAATTTAGGCTTAACCACACTTTGCCAAAGGAGAAGGTGTGGCAAATATATATTTGATGGATAAACACAGATTTCATCTTCAGTTTTCAAAACACAACCTTTTCAAATAAAGACATCCTGCCTAATAAAAGAAGAAACTGTGTGGATAGGAAACATAACGAAAGGAAACAAACACATTAGCCTGAATTGATTATTGCTGGTGTGCATTTTTATGATATTTCCCAAAAGAGATGGTGCAGAAAGCTAAAACTGAACTAATTCACAATTAAGCTGAAAGTATACAGTAGAATAAAGTCTATGACAAGCCAAATAATAATTTTGTGATTTGCCAAATCTCAGGGAAGAAGAGATGAAAAGAGAAAAAGTAGTTATTTTAAGCATCTCAGTTTAAAATAAAATTAGGAGTACCTACTTACAAGTGTTTGTTTAGAAATGGGTTATCCTTTCATATGGAATTCTGAAGCCCATACAGGATTTTTGTACAGTTGTAATATTATAAGGCAAAAGATATCAGTCTCTAATTTCACAGAATGGTTTGGAGAGAAAACTCAACATTAGTTTCTGGAAATAAAAAAAAAAGTTTATTACTTCAATTACTCATTAAAGATGAGTTCACTGACAAAGTGGGGCTTCCCTCATAGCTCAGTTGGTAAAGAATTCGCCTGCAGTGCAGGAGATCCCAGTTTGATTCCTGGGTCGGGAAGATCCGCTGCAGAAGGGATAGGCCACCCACCCCAGTATTCTTGGGCTTCCCTGGTGGCTCAGCTGGTACAGAATCCGCCTGCAATGCGGCAGACCTGGGTTCGATCCCTGGGTTGGGAAGATCTTCTGGAGAAGGAAAAGGCTGCCCACTCCAGTGTATAGTCCATGGGGTAGCAAAGAGTCGGACATAACTAAGCAACTTTCACTTCCCACTGACAAAGTTAGCGAAACCAAAGATAATGAAATTCAAAGGACCTTAAATTAAGCAGGACAACCCCAATGCTATTAATTTTATGTATATATGCATATCTACACACATACATACACACATGTATTGGTCAATTTTATTTTGAGTCTGGAAAATACCAATACCAGTAGGTCTGTGGTAAGTTCAGGTTTGCTTTTTGGAACAATGTAGTATTTCTAAAGGAAATTTTGGTTTCTCGAACATGAGTTAACTTTTGATATGCAAAAATTAATTTTTGAAATTAAGCTGACAGTCATACCAGTTTATAAAGTCTTCATCTGCTTCAAAAGTATTGGTCCATTTCAACAGTATCTATATCACAACATGACATTAAATTCAAACTTCCTAAAATTGAATCTTCCTATACTTTCAATTTACCATGAACACCAGAAGGAAAATAGGGCATATGGAAGGAAAGTGAGGAGAGAATGTATTAATTAATAAAAAGGAAAAAAAGGAATGAAATTAACAGAATACATCTCTGTATTATTCACTACAGGCAAAACCCTTGATAAATTTCCTTGCAAGAAGGTAAAGGATAAATTTTCTATAACTGGGCATTATAGAGTGATTTCTGGTTATGCAAGTACACTTAAAAGGTTAAGTAAATTGTATTCCTAATTGATTAGTAATTTGAAGTTATTTAGATATCAAAGGATATGGACATCTTTGTCACAAACTTATCATGTGAGTCTTCAGGAGGGGGAAAGATTTTCAAATCTTTCTCAAGCTGTTGAAGTTGCCTTCCCATCTGTTTCAAGTTCTTTTCCAGGGTTTCTACAGAAACTAAAAGAGAGAATATTATATGCCTTAAAAGGACGAAATTATAATATAAAAAAGTAAAATATTCTAGAAACAAAACACATTAAAAACCTTACAATAATAATGAAAAATCCATGAAAATAAAGGAAAGGTGAATTTCACTTAAAGTTTTAAAAACCCTTTAATTTTTAAATCCAGAAATGAAGAAAATAAAAGATTTTAAAAAATAGGAATATTTTGGTAAAGCTCACATACACAAACCACGTATAAGAAATCTTTTGTTGAAAAATCAAAGTCCTTGACCTCTACAAACACTACAAAAAAATCAATTAAGAAAAAGATGGAAAAGAAAGAGTATATTTTTAAAATTAAATCTATTTCAATATAATTTGAGCACTTTTCAAATGATCATCTTTTGAGAGGGGAAAAATGTACAAAGAAAAGATGGGGAAACTCTGCTCTTTTGTTCAAGGTCACCTACATCAGGAATGAAAAGATATCAGGGGTTCTTTGAGTACCATGGGAAACAAATTTCAAACTTTCTTTACTGGTACTCTGAGAACAAGTAAACTGTTTATTAAATAATAAAGTGTTTTTGTGTATACATTCCTGCCTAGTAAAAGTCACAAGTAATCCACATATAGCTAAACCCAGGGGAATACACTTAAGCATTCTGTGGATGGATGGTTCAAAGACAAATAAATTATATTTTTAATTAACATTTAAATTAAATGTATTAATACACTATTTTAAAAAATCACATACTTAAAATGTTATGATTAAATCACTGATCAAATTTTACTACACATAGACACACATCAAATCTGGCAGATATCTAGAGGAAAGACAAATGAGTCTGAGGAACTCCCATGTAACAAAAAGCACAAGGCAAACACTGGAAAGGAACATACGTGGATTATTTATTTTTTTCTGATATCTGATACATCAGTCCAACACCATCCACTTCTCCAATACCCACTGGTGTCTCCCAATTCACTGACACTCATTGCCTGGAGTTAGCCTCGAACCCACATGTTTAAGGACTCAGTCCCATAAAGACTGCCCTCACTTGAAAGGGCAAGTTACGGGGATCACCTGTCCTTCTAACCAACGATAAATTCAAGGGTTCTCATACGCTCCCACCACCCCATTTATTTTCTATAATTTACTGGGATGACTCACAGAACTTCAGGAAGTACTGTGCTTGCAGCGACAGCTTTTATTATAAAGGCTCTAGCTCAGGAATAGCCAAACGGAAGACACACACAGGGCAAGGACACGGAAGGAGGGGCTGCCTGACGCCCCACGCTCTCTGGGCGCAGTCCGTGCACGGCCTCCTGGAGCACCCACGCGCTCACTGTAACACAAGGCCCGTGTGCCTCTTCATCTCGGAGTCTCAGCGAAGCCTCACAGCGCAGCTGCGATTGACCGGGTCACGGGCTCTCGTGCCTGACCTGGAGGCGAGAGGGAGGGCTGAAACGTGTGTCCTCTGGCCTCCTGGCTGGCGCTTCTGTCAACCAGTGCCCCCTTCCTCAAGTTCCCTAAGCTGGCCCTGCTCCCGTCTGCCCCAAGTCATCTCATTGGCGCACAAAGGCACTCATGCTCTAACGAGGATTTTAGGAACCAAGACAAAAGTCAAATGCATAGTTTTTCCTCTGTCCCATGGATGCAGCAGTGTGCATCTGGCCAGCAGGTGGGACCCCAGTGCCTGCAGGAAGGCTGAGAGGGGCGCGTTTCTGATCCACGAGCTGTCCTCAGAGCTGCCCCGCAGCCGAGCCTGTGCTTGGCGGGGGCCGGCGGCTCGTGGCTGGAAACAGACCTGTCCCAGGGAGTGCGTGCTCCTCAGGGGGTGGGAGAAGGGCTTCAGGTGGTCAGGGAAAGGCTTCTTAGGGGGTCCTGGGAGCCCTTCCCAACTCATTGGCAGCCAGCTGGGTCAGGGACGATGGTCTATCACCACATGAGCAAAATAGGAGGAATCTCGCCTCATATTTTTACCTCACTGATATTTCATAAAGACCAACTGCTATAATATAGGATGAAGAATTTTTTAAAAATAAAATGGACTAAGAGATGTTAATCTTATTCGGACAACTCAGTAAAAATGCCTTAAAGACTGAAGCAATACTAAAATCAAAGGAAATTAAAAAAAAAAATCATCACAACCATCATCATTGCCAGGAAAAGTGCTACAGAACTCTGGCTAAAAAGAATAGTTGGTAATTATAAGAATAAAATGTTTGGGATGTTAGGAAATTCGGGGGCACATTCAAACATCTAAGGTTGGCATCATAAGGAGAAAAAAGTTGTCTTACAAAATGGTTCTGTAGCTACTTAACAGATAGAAATCCCATTAAGCCGTTACCCAAGCTTCATCAGCACTACCCAATATTATTTGTACATTATACTTAAGACAATTTAACTGTAACTGATCAACTTTTCTGAGAAGGCAATGGCACCCCACTCCAGTACTCTTGCCTGGAAAAGCCCATGGACAGAGGAGCCTGGTGGGCTGCAGTCCATGGGGTCGCCAAGAATCAGACACGACTGAGTGACTTCACTTTCACTTTTCACTTGCCTGCATTGGAGAAGGAAATGGCAACCCACTCCAGGGTTCTCGCCTGGAGAATCCCAGGGACGGGGGAGCCTGGTGGGCTGCCGTCTATGGGGTCGCACAGAGTCAGACAAGACTGAAGCGACTCAGCAGCAGATCAACTTTTCACTGCAGGTTTTTAAATAAAGACTGAAACCACAGTTGGAAGAAAGAAAGGTGTGTGCAAGTTCTATGTAAATAAAATACAATTGAATGCCCAGGGCCATCTGATGGATAAAACTAAAGAGGATTTAAGAATGTCCTTGGCATTCTTCAGTAATTATATATACAAAGAAACTACCCACATACATCTTTGGACATAGTTTAACCACATAGTTTAACTTGAACATATCTCAAGTTCTTTGAGGTCAGTGACAATAATTTTTGCTATTAGAAGTCCCAACTGGAGCAGAGAATTTTAAACTGCCCTCCTTGAAAGTGTTAATTTACTGGTATCTCTGTATGTGACACATGTGAATTTTATCTTTCAACTACGTCACATTTGTTTTTTTCTTTCACATTTCTTAACTAATAAGTTAATCTTATCTTCTTATTCCTTTTCATTATTTAGAAGTAACAAAATACAGTCATTATAAAACAGAGTAGACTAGATATTTTTAAGGCACTTTCAACTTCTGCATTTTACTCAGTTTTCAATCAGATGGGATATCCCTCAGTCACCTCAGACACTGTGTGTTTCGACCCCCAGCCAACCGCCCATCTGCAATCTCCATATGACTGTGGGCAGTAGAACCATAATGCTGTCTCCCGTGCTGGAAACCTGCTAGTCTTGACCCTTCCTCTCCTGAACCCTCAGATCCAAAGGATCATGACATCCCTCACATGGTACTTGACAAATAAAATCTACCCTTGAACACCACTCAAGGGATCTGAAACACTAACCTCTTCTTTGACCTCTGGTCTCCTACTGTTTCTCTCAGAGCCATATCCAAACTGTACATGGAAATTTTGAGACAAACATTAATTTAAAGATACCATAAGAAGAAGTGAAGTCGCTCAGTCTTGTCCGACTCTTTGCAACCCCATGGACTGTAGCCTACCAGGCTCCTCTGTCCATGGATTTCCAGGCAAGAGTACTGGAGTGGGTTGCCATTTCCTTCTCCAGGGGATCTTCCTGACCCAGGGATTGAACCCGGGTCTACCGTATTGCAGGCAGATGCTTTACCATTTGAGCTACCAGGGAAGCCTAAAGATACCCTACCTCTGCTTAAAAACCAGACAAGAAACTCCTTACACAACATCAGAGTTCCACCTACAACATGGTCCTATTTCCTAAACTGCCACACTTCACTACCAAATCAACTCCTAGTTTGATTCCACCCAACCCCTTTTATCTATTCTGCACCTGATGCCAGAAAAAGTGTGTCTATTTGCTTTACCCACTCCACCCAAGTCACTCCTATTCACTTTTACAGTAAGAGGCCAAAACCCCAGACCGGCCCTGGTGACGCACCCTCCCGCCTGTCATGCCTGGCAACTAACTGTCTCTATCTTTGCAAGGAGGACACCCATTACTTTCAGCATGTGCCTTCCTCTCCTAACCACCCAGGGATTCCTGAGGGGAGAGACCTTATATTTTATGCATCTTTGTGCCTTGGTTTACATAACACAGGGCAGGTACTCAAATGTTTGCTGAAAGAATGGATTTTGGGTTTAACTTTAACCTCTCAAGAGGTTAAAACATTAAAAAGGGGAAATATAACAGATTAAATATCTAAAACTTTAAAAGCTAAGACACAGACTTATCTCCAAGTGGCTAGTCATTTTGATAATTATACACTAGAGATGTTAGAAAAGCTCTAAATAAAAGTTAAAATCACAACTATAAATATTTAGATTCAGAAATCGTGATACAGAAATCACGTATATAGGTTCTCTGCAATATAATGTCCTCTATGATTTACCATGCTAAGATTTCAAATAAAAATGGAGAAATTGCATACATTTATATAATCTCTATAATTAAACAATAATCATCTATGAATATCTCCTGGAGGTGTTGGTCCTTATTTCATAACAAGCTTACTAAGAAATGTCACACTCATTCTTACATACCATGATACATTACAGAGGAGATGAAGTCTTTGAAGAAAGCAAAAGCAACGATTACCAAAAAACAATGTAAACATTCAAACTAAATTACCCTTCCTATTCTAGACACAACTGTTCTATGAGAGAAACTAAAGCCTATAGCATTTAAAGCTCCAAACATAATGATTTTTCCTAGACAACTGTAATAATAAAGCTTTAAGAGTATTTCACAAAATGCACGTCAAAAATAATACACTGGATGGACATGATGGATAAAACCTTCAGTAGCATTAAAAAAATCTTTAATATTAAGTAGGCTGAAGACAAAATCTAAGTTCTGGAGTATCATTATAAAATGCATCATGTTGACGGAAAAGCATGA